CATTTATTATAGTTATAACCCATCTGCCTTTTAATTGCCAAACTTTTGTAAAGCAGCATCGTCCTCTTCACAGTTAGCAACACCCAAGATCTTAATATAATCAGCAAATTTAAGTATTTTATTGACCATTCCTTCATGTATATCACTGATGTAAATCAAAAAGAACAAAGGTCCTAAGACTAAGCCCCTAGTGACATTAATCTAGTTTGACTAAACTCCATTTATAACAACCCTCTGCTTTTTTCCATCCAGCCACTATTCTTATCCCCCAAACTTATAAGAGTTTTTTTTTTTACGAGTCTTATATGTCAAATGCTTTCTGAAAATCCAGATACACCAAATCTACACCCTTACCCTCATCTACATAAGCAGTAATATTTTCAAAGAATATCATAAGATTTGTAAGGTAAGATTTTCCCTTGGTGAAACCATGTTGACTATCCAATAAAATTCTAAACTTTGTTAAATGACTTTGCAAAGCATCTTTTATCAGACTTTCCAAAACTTTTCCCACAACTGATGTACAACTAATAGGCCTATAATTAATGGATGACATTGTGCAAAGCAAGTAAGTAAATACTTGTACAATTACAAGTTTATAAAAGTCATATGGAATTAAACAAGTATCACTGGAAACATACTGTTACAAAGATCCATCTTTATAAATAATGAAATTACTTTTTTGGAATCCAAAATCCAAAAATAGAGTTAGTAAAAATAATACCAATCTACATTATTTCTTGAAGAAACGTGTGGTTTCTAGTAGTTGTTTGTTTTTTTCCCTCCATTATTTGCAGATTTTGTTAAGATTTGAGCTTTCTTGTGTTTTTAAACTTGTAATTTTGTGGTGGATGTAAAGTTAGCATATATGGAAGTGTGCAGATTTCACATACTGTACTGATTCTTTTGTAGCATGGAAAGTTCAGCAAATGCAGTAACTGTACATGAAGACAAGGTATAGTTATAATGGAAATTCAGATGTGCAGACATTTTAGGGTAGCAAAAGAAAATTGAATCAGTAACTAACAGTAGGTAGAGAGTGTCTACTGTCTCATGTTTTAAAACAATAAAAGAAAGTATCTTAAATGCTTTAATATCTATCTCAAAATAAACCATGGGTAGAAAGATAACTAATTGTGAGTATATTACATGGCTTGCAACCAAAATTCCATTTTTCATAACCAAATTTTTATAGATAAAAGAAAGTCTTGGTATGTAGTTAGTATACCTTCATCTACACATCCAAGTAATCAGTTAAGTAACTTGAAAGTTGAGTAATATTTTGTACACTGTTATATGGTGATCATGTAGCTTAAGGTGTGGTTCTGTATATATAATGTGATATTTTTTTTTGCTGCTACTGTGGCTTTAAATTTACCTGGCCACGAACGTATTAATACAGATGTTTGTTATGTTGAGACTTGTAAAGCTGTAGAAGTTATTACATTATGTTGTATATATTTGGTGTTTTAAATTTGTTATTCTTTTTGATAAAAGTAAGGTGATATTTGAAAAAAAAAAGCATCTGGTTTACTTTGACCTAGGCTTGAAAATTATTGTCCCTCCTTATCACATTAAGAAAGTCACCAATGTTACTGGCTGTAACAAACAACCAATTTGCTTTTAGTAATTATAGTTAGTGTATAACAGAAATCCAGGTAGTGAAAACTATAAAACCCTGTACAGTTTTCATCATTAAGAACTAGAGGAGGGAAGTAGACTCTTATAATTTACCAGTTAAAATTTGAACTCTGATAAATCAGTGTGCCAGTCAACTTTGAATGCACCCTATATTTTCTAGAAAATTTCATAAACTGCTTAGTTGAATGTTAAGGTAAACTGTTAAGCTTAAGATCGTTCTGAATATATGCATCACATTTTTAATAAAAAAAATATTGTTAAACATCTCTTATTATATTATCAAAAATGTAGTCATAATCTTGAGCCATTATTTATTGCTGAGCTAGTCATTCTACAAATTAGATTGGAATGATCAAAACAAGTTGTAAGTAATTTTGAACAAAATGTAGCATTTGCTGAGATTAAACATGCAGTCAAATTCCTCTCTTCTTTTCAAAGGTTAAGCAAAGGACTCGTGCTCCAGCTACTCGACAGACTCCAACCCCAGCTCCAGGGACACAAGTACAGCAAGCTTCTCAGACAACTAGTAGCCAAACTCAGACTCACCCTCCTCAGAGTACAAAGGCTGATGCAGCTAATCAGACAAAACCTTCTAATGAGGGACGTCCTTCTAGCACACAGAACAAGTCCACTGCCACTGAAACCAAACAGCAGTCCTCTCAAGTGAAACCCAACCACATTCCTGTTATACCCATCACCACAACTCCTCTGACAGCTACCACTTCTACAAACACTAATGCTACAAACATTAATCTATCTATTATGTTGAGTAAAAAGGAAAAAAGAGAAGAGGTTAAGAAGGAAAATGAAGTTTCTACACAGACACTGAACAGAATCCCTGCTGTAACTATACTGCCTGAGAAAAAAGATGCTGCATCAGGAAATGATGCTCAAATCACTCCCTTATTGCAGGAGCAAGCTAAAGAGAAGCAGCCACAAAAAGCTATAGTCAAGCCACATGTTTTGACACACGTGATTGAAGGCTATGTTATTCAAGAAGCTCCTGATCCTTTCCCTGTAAGTACACATTTAAAACATAACCTTGTACTTGTGCAATTAATAATGTATTAATTTAAGGCAAAAGTATTAAATATTAATATAGTATATGATTTAAAGTTAAGAAAATATAAATATTAGTTTATCTGGTGTTTTAAGATTTTTTAGTATATCAATCATGTTTATTGGTATTGTATTATAGTAGTTTTTCATTCTTAAATAATGTTGTCTTTTATAACTGTTTTCTGTTTTAAATTTCTAATTCTCCTCATAGTATATTAATACATTTCTATTTCAATAGGTTAGCTGTTTGTATTATTTTACTACACTTGAAAAAGCATATCAGGCAGTGTTCAGGTATTAATTATCCTTGATATTACTGCATATACAAGCTATATTTATACATTTAGTATGTATGTTCTAATGCTTTGTAGTATCTGTTATTCTGTATAATGTTTTCTTTGTGTGTATTTCATATCTGAAATAAGAGTTGAAGGCATGAACAATTGTTGATTTTGTATGATTATCAATCAACCTTTGTAGCCGTATGATTGAGTTCAAAGTTGTTTTTCTACAGAAAACTGATCATTTTAGGTTTCTTAACTGCATATTTCCTCATATTTCATTTTATTGATAAAGAATAACTGAACAAAAAAAAAAATCTAGAAAGAAGTTTCCTATTAAAAGTTTTATTTTTAAAATTATAATTTTCAGGTGAGTAGATCTTCAATACTCACAGCTACCTCTTCATCTAAACCAGTATTATCAGAAAAACCAATGGAGACTGAAGTAACTCCATCAGTTAAAGGTTTGTTCTTGAGGTTTAAGTCATATGTTTTATTTAATGTAATATTACATGGAAGATTAGAAAAACAACAACTTTACTTTGACTGACTAATTTAATTTATTGAGTATTTTCTCACTGATAGAAAAAACTTACTTAATTGTTGTCAGTTGTACAGAAACTATGAAATTATATACTTCACTGTACAGTTAAATATCCTCATTATTTGTAACTTTTGGTTAATGTAGATATTAAATTAGAAACTGAAACTTTGAATTACTGTTTGGAAGTTGAAATTTCATAATATCGGACAATTAATGGCCTGAATATGAACAACACAAACGTGCATTCACATTGGTAGTGTGATATCATCAACTTACACAAAAAACATTTTAAATTAATTAACTGATATTGGGATTTTTGATTTAGTTTGTAAGCATATTATTTTATTTCATTCATTTTATAAGTTAGTTTGATATTTCAAGTTATTGACATTTGTTGGAACAAAAGTTTTTGGTTCATGAACAAACAACTATTAACACTTCAACAGTTTTCTTGGAAAAATGGGTCAAAAGCGACAAACGACCTACTTGGATTTTAAATAGCCTCTGGTTTACAAGAAAAGAACTACTTCGTATTTAAGAACAATTGTAACAGGCGATAAGAAAAGAGCATTAATTAATTGTTAATTTTCATAACCATTCACCAAAGACTTCACATTTTATTTGTTTTTGGCTCTGGAATAACAAAATTGTATAGTCTTCGTCAGCTATGATGATGAGTGAAGGAATTTGAACCTGCTTAATTAATTACATTATTTTTGTTACTGTACCTTAATTACTAATTAGTTTATTTCACATGCTTCTATTACTAGTTTCTAGAAAGTTCTGAGAAGGATTGTATGTTGTTGTATGGGCTGTGATTTGATCTTTGTTCTTCTTGTTAGTAAGACTGATAGCTATCTGCTTAACTGGGATCTCTGGACATATAGGTTACTAACCATTATAGTGAAGTGGTAATTAATGTGTTCCCATCCTTATCAAAAAGCTAATCTTCTTTAAAACCCTATAGCAGTTGTTCTACGTGACTTTAACCCACTCATATATTAGCAACATTATGGCTTTTGCATAAATGCTGTTAATTATCTTATTTCCTAACAAGCTCAAAATCTATGAAAATATATATATTACATTTTTTGATGCTCAAAAGATTTATATATATATATAAAGATAATATACTTAATATTAATAAGAGGTTTTTAGTACAAGATCAAAAAACATATGTTAATGCAGTTGTTAGATTTGCATGCTAATTTAAGCATAGTTTTCTACAAAATATAAAATCAACATCATCATTGATAGTTAAACTTGTACAGCAATTGTATTATGACATACTATGAACACTACAAAAATTTTAGCTTGAAGTATTTTGTTTAATGAGTAATCACTTCATGTTAACTTCAAAGTACAAGTAATACTACTGTATTTTTTTGTGTGTGAGAGGAACTGAACATTCTAATTTCATCATCAGTAGGGATAGGATATCACTTTGTGTGTTTCTGTGTTAACACATGCATACAAATATGCAATAATAATGTCTTTTATTTTTTCTTTATTTGTAGGATTAATTTCATCAGAGAAAAAAGAAGAAACTCATAAATCTAAAGGGCATGTAGAAATTACAAAGTGTGAATTCTGTGGGAAGCTTGGAGCAAAGTCCAAGTTTAAGAGGTCAAAGCGTTTCTGTTCTACATCTTGTGCTAAACGCTACAATGCCAACTGTTCTAAACGTTTAAGCCTTATTTTACCCACCGGTCAGCAGAAGTCTATTCAAATTACAGGTAGAGTTATGACTTTGTCTTATTTGATTGAATAACCCCTTTCTTGGGTATAAGCCGTGCTCATTTTACAGCCGTAAAGAGAAGAACCAAACAAAAGTTGCTTCCCATCATATAGTACCTCAACAAGAGATGTTAAAATGTAAAGGCTTGGTATTCTATGTTCATATTATTATCCTTTTTTTCGGTCACTCATTATATTTTATTTAATTCACATTTATAGAACTCCTGGATACTTGTACAGTAAATGTAAAAGTGTTATCTGAAGCTAACCAGTCTTAAAAGAAGCCATACCACATAATGCGAGAAATTCATGTTCCTTGGATATAAGCTTATTTATGTTTCAGATAGATATGTTAATTCTTAACTTGTATATGCAGACTTCCCAGCAAACATGTAAAACCTGTTTTTCAAATAGCCTGTAATATCCAATAAAAGCCTGTGTTTTTAATGCTTCAGCATCTAAAAAAACGTGTATTTACAGAAAATATTTTATTTTGTTTAAAGTTTAAAATTCAATTCATAGTTGTAGCTGTCATACATGCATCCTGAAGGAGATGCTCATTGTCACCGATGGCACATGAATATTTTGAGTTACAAGGTAAGAAAGATTATCCTAATTTGTTAGGTACAAGGTGTGAAACAACCGTTATTGAAATATATACCCATTTGTGGTTTTGTTGAACTTAATAGATCATAATGTAGTGCATCTGTAAAGGAGATTTTGCTAAAAAAACAGCCTTTATTTCAGTCAGTTTCAGCAGGTAATTTGTCAAATGTCACCTTTATTTTAAAAGATGATCAGCAGCAGACACTTCTGGGAGGTCTGTAAATGGCAATGAGCAATACCATGTTTAAGTTGCATAACTAAGTCAGGAAATTACATAGAAATGTTGAGTAGCTAAACTTGATGTAGAAAACAAACTACAGTTATAGTCAACATGAAAATAAAGAAGATAAATGACTCATGGTTCTTTTATTTGTGTTAACAAATGAATATTTTTGAAATTAATCTTGAGATAGTTTATTAAACTTCAAAAGTAAAGGACTTTTTGAGAATTATCAAATATGTCCACTATCACTGTTTAGTAACTACTGTCATCTAGTAGTAAGTACTGAGTCTTATTATTTTTTTAATACAGCAAAGGAAAACTCTTATCTTTTTTTAGTTAATGTCATTGTTGGGAAGGGGGCTGTTATTGGTGTACTGGTTAAACATTTGATTTTAATCAGTTATAAAATAATGTGTTTAATTTAGTTTAAAGTTTTTCTGTAATGACTTCTTTATAAATTTGTATATACTTTACAGGTGGAAAGGTTGGTAAGAAGAAGAAGAAAGGCCGCAAGTCATGGAAAAAATGGGGAAAGCAAAATGAACGAACATCTTACAAAGAGATTAGTAGCTGGGTAAGTGTAGATGTAAGCTTTAATCCTTATAAAGCTGAAGGATGTATTTGTTTGTCCATTGTATGTGTTTATGTAAAGGACTTTATTGATGGACATAGACTTTACAAAATGAAAGTGTAAAATTAATTTATGGTAAATTAGACCAAAGGTAAGCACCATGTAGAAAATGAAAGTCTTGTGGTTTAATGGTATTGTATGAGGAATTTAGTGTATCTCTTAAACATTAATGTGAAAGCAAAGTGGATCTTCTGACTTGGTTTCTAGCAGGTTTTTTACATCTTTCCACTTGGGGTCAGTTGATGTGACTGACTGTGTAACCACAAAGTAATCATCAGAGTTTCTATACTAAAACTTTTAATATGTTTTGTGTATCTTCACAAAATTTGGCAAGCTTCCAGTATACATTGTAAGTCTTTTGTACACAAAAAAATCAGATTTTTTAATTAAGTATTTTTACTAAAGATTTGTCTATAAATATACAGTACATAGAGTGCAAGGCGTGTTTCATTTTAAGATGAAAAATACTTTTCTTCATCTGATAATTTCAAAATTTCATTTGTGTAACCTTTAAAATCTTTTTAATACATAATAGATGTTTTTTTTAGTAAAACTTTATATTTTATGCATTATTTTTTCCAATACAACTCTGTATGGACATGGTTGATTTGACCAACCTTTTAACCACCATTAAAAAGAAATAAATCTAAATTACCTTTAATTTTCTTTCTAGAATGACTGCAAATTGTAACCAAAAACTACAATTGTTTATCCTCAATGACTTGAGGCTCATAACAGTTTACATCTATTTATACTTAATTTTCTTGTTTTATTGCCCTTTGAACTGTTTAACTAGTAATCCTACCACATAAGTTGTAAATTGCTTAGTGAACATGTAGCTCATGTTACCATGTTGAATGACCTAGCTGCTTGTGAGCATACATCATGAAGAATTATTTTATTTTTTCCAGTATCTTACCTAATCTAACCTATTAAGTTTCTAATTTTTATATTTTAGTTGCTTTGATACAAATAAATAAAAAATATATGCACAAAAAACAAAAAATATAGTACTTACATTTGATCTTTTGTTTATTTGCTGTCGATTTTTGATTAAATTTAAGCCTACTTTTTTATAATGATGGTATTAAGTACACTAAATAATTTTTATCTACATAAATAATGTACCTAAGAACACAGAATAATATTACACACAAAGCGAACAATGTCCTATAACTGTTAAAATTTAACTGATTTTCTAATTAAGACAAGGGGGCTTAAATTAATTCCTTTAGCTAATTGATTTCAATCTGAACACCTTGAGATAAACATTCAAACTGAAAACGAAATTGACAATGATATGTACTAAAAGCAATATAGTAGTATACATCATTCAATAGATTAAAACTCTGCCTTTCTACTGGTTATAAATGATGTAGTATAAAACATCAGAGAATTATTGGCAGTTTATGAAAGAGAAGATATGATGGGTGGGCATGGCAAGTGAGTCTGATTTTCTAGTTTATTCCTCCATAGACAAATAAGATTAAAGGCTATAAAAATTACACTTTGCCTTAGTAATATATATATATTTATATTATAATGAGTAATTTACATCAAATTCCATACTTTAGAGAGGGATGGTAAATAAATTAGAGAATGGGGAACAACTGGAGAACAAATGTCACTTTTCTCATACTAAGGGTGATTGGGGATTTTTTTAAATGTGTTCTTTAAAAGTTAAAAACTTAAAACTTGTATTAAAAAAACTTTTTGGCATATATCTAGACTATCCTATCTAATAAATCCTTAACAAATAAATAATAAAAAGAAGCATCAAAGTTGTCCCTTATCATTCAAATGTTTATCAAGCTTTACCTTATCTCACTTAAATTAAGTGTATCCATCACATTAAATATGAAAAAAATAATACATCAACAGTATAAATTTCCTTAATCTTGTACACTTGAATCAGATCCCTTCTAGCTCTTCTTTTTTCAAAGAAAACAATTTCAGAGATCTCAACCTACCGTCATATGATAACCTTTCCATCTCACATATCATCCTA